CTCCAAGTATAATTTGAATGATCAAGTCAAGGAGGATGAGGTGGGCAGGGCATGTAGCACGAATGGGGGAGACGTAGAATGTGTATAGGATATTGGTGGGAAAGCCAAAAGGAAAGAGACCACTGGGAAGACCAAGGCGTAGGTGGGTGGACAATATTAAAACGGATCTTGAAGAGATAGGATGGTATTGATTGGATTGCTCTGACTCAGGGTAGGGACCAGTGAAGGGCTCTTGTGAACACGGTAATAAACCTTCGGGTTCCATAAAATTCTGGGAAATTCTTGAATAGCTGCAGAATTGGCGGCTCCTCCAGAAGGGCTCAGCTCCATGAGTAAGTAAGTAAGTAGAAGAAAGCAGTCTTCTGGGATTTGGCACCGTGTATATGTGGTGTTAAACGACGTTTCGGAGGAACGTATCGCCCCCATCTTCAGGGTTGAAGAAGTATAAGTAAATCTGCAAGCGACAACACCGTGAGACACGGTCAAGCAGACTGTCTCACGGTGTTGTCGCTTGCAGATTTACTTATACTTCTTCAACCCTGAAGATGGGGGCGATACGTTCCTCCGAAACGTCGGTTAACACCACATATACACGGCGCCAAATCCCAGAAGACTGCTTTCTTCATAGTCACCGCCGTGAAAGCCTCAAATCTTACAAAGTAAGTAAGTAGTAGGAGTTCTACACATACGGTACTTTGTCGACGTTAGGAAGAAAGGGAACACAAGATAATGAGCATTAAAGAAGGCTGTTTTCCATTAAATCCTGCTGTGTTTTATTTAATTTTCGTCGATAGACAGCTGAGGTTTGTTAGAAGTAATGTCACATTAGTTCTCACTGCATATTTATAGGACCGGAAATATTTTCCGAATAAGTGAGGTTTCCGGTTAATCCCTTTTCCGTTCCAGATGTGGTTTTACCGATCATTGCGGTCGAATTGTTAGCAATCTTCCTTTGTATTCGGGATGTTGTTGCCAGTTCTTCCAATTCAGTGTCGGACTAAATCCATGGAGCTGAGCCCTTCTTGAGAAGCCGCCAGTCGCTCAGCTACTCAAGAATTTTCTAACATTTTATGGAACCCGAAGGTTTATTACGGTGTCCGGCACTGGTCCCTGTCCTGAGCCAGATAAATTCAATCCATACCAACCCATCATATTTCAGTAAGATATATTTTAATACTATCATCCTACCTATTTTCTACATGCATTCCTCTTCTCCCCCATTCGTGCTACATGCTCTGCACATCTGATTGTTTTTGAGCATATCATTTCAATTACATTTGGCGAAAAGTAGAAGCTACGGAACTGCTCGTTACACAGTTTTATCCAACCTCCTACTATTTCATTCCTCTTCGGTCCAAATATTCTCCTCAACAACCTCAGTCCATGTTCCTCCCTTAATGTTAGAGACCAAGATTCACACCCATGCAAAACTACTGGTAAAGTTAGTTTTGAATATTTTAATCTGTATATATTCAGAGTCCGGTCACGGTAGCCGAGGGGTCTAAGGCATTTACTGTCTTCGCTCATTCTGAAGCCGGATCGTGGGTTCGAATCCCACACAAGGCATTGATGTTTGGTATGTGTATGTTTTTATTCTGGTTATGTTGTTCTGTGTTTAGGTAGAGGCCTTGGGACGAGCTCATCACTCGTCTAAGGAGTCCCACCGTCTGTAAAATGATTATGAAACTGAAAATCAGAGGCCAGGGCCCAAGGGAGCTGTGGAGACAGCAGACGATAACACAAATAACACATTTCTACATTTGAATCTGCTCTTAAATAGTTCATTTGTCGAATTTTGATTTGTACTGCTAAATGGAGTGGGAACACGCGGCAGCGTAGTTGGTTGAGGCATTATGCTACAAGCCGGTTGTTGGATTTGTTTCAATTGACCTAATCCTTCCGGCCGCACTATGTCCCTAGAGTTGACTGACTCAACCTCTAACAGAAATGAGTAAAGTAAAGTAAAGATATCCCTGTAACAGTCCGTGAAGGCCCATAGGGTTGTGAGACGTCGAGGCTCCCACATTATCTAGACAATCGGCTCAAAGATGGCGGTAAGGTTGTCAGCCTTACCCGCCGGCCGCGCTTTACTCCCGAGGAAAATTCCTGGTACTCATTTCTGTTAGAGGCTGAGTCGACCCCAAGGCCATAGTGTGGCTGGAAGGATTAGCTTAATTTTCTTTAATGCTAGTGGGGTGGACTAAGTCCCTTGTACTGCGGCCACTTCTGGCCTATTGTACCAGCCCCAGATGATAGGTGAGGGTGGTTGTGGAGAAATTGGTGGAATGAAAATTGGCAAGGGAAACCGAAGTACTTGCAGAAATCCTGCATTAGCGCCACTCTGTCCACCACAAATCCTACTTAACCAGACCCGGGATTGAACCCTGGCCGCCGCGGTGGGAAGCCAGCGACTAACCGCTTGAGCTATGGCGCGACCCATTGCTTACTGGTAAATGGAGTGCATTTTGAAATTCTCTTCACAAGGGTTTTAATGTATGAATAACTGTATAAGGGGTGGGCTTTCTCGGCCCTTGCACCGCGACCACAGTGATCTATTGTGCTTCCCTTTTGATTATCCCCTCAGCAATCCTGTGCTTCGAATGAAGCTCAGGATTTTGTATGTGGGGGCGTCGAAATGGTCACTTAGTTCCATAAAGTACTGACCCAAGTGACGTAATCTTAAATAAGTTTAGACCTCACATTCCCACAGGATATGTGTGGCTGTTTCATTTTCTTCTTGACACCTCTCACAAGTGGGACTATCGCTTAGTCCCAGTTTGAAGAGGTGTCTTTTAACGTGGCAGTGTCCTGTAACTTGTCCTACCACCCATCGTAGCTGGTTCCTTTTTAACTTCAACAGTTCCTTCGCTCTTTTAGTGGAAGGTCCTCGTATGAGTCCCTTTGCTTGCCTGAGTCCAGTTAAGGATCTCCAGTATTTCCTATGTTTTATGTTTGTCCAGTCCCTGATTGCCTGTCTGGCAACTCCTATAGAGATGCCACAGTCTGGTTCAGGTCCTATGAACGGATGTTCAGCTCCAATCGTAGCCAATTGGTCTGCTGTTTCGTTTCCAGCAATACCCTCATGCCCTGGCACCCATATCAGTTGTACCCTGATATGTTTGGCCAGTTCCATGAGGGTTTGATGGCAATCCCAGACCAATTTTGAGTTGATCTGGTGTTTGTCAAGCGGTTTAAATGCAGCTTGGCTGTCAGATAGAATGTAGATGTTCCTATTTCTATAGTTCCTATCTAAATTCTCCACAATACATGCTTTAATGGCATATACTTCTGCCTGGAATACTGTCGTGTACTGCCCAAGGCTGAAACTAAGTTTCCGCCTCGTGCCATAGCAGTACACACCAGCTCCAGTGCCCTTATTTATGTTGGAACCATCTGTATACCAGATCAGTCCCCCTTTTCTATCGGGCCGAAACCCGTCTTCCCATTCACTCCTTTCAGGAAATCTGACTGAAGGGTTTTTCATATACATGTCTCAGTATCATTTTGTCAGACCCCACTTGTAATATGGTTTCTTTTTCATGTCGTGAGTTGTGTTTGCATGTCCGAAACTATGGGTTTTAATGTAAATAAAGTGCTATTGAATTGTCGTGTAGTTGAGATCTACAAAATCTAGAAATCTAGAAATTTGTACAGTAGGAAAGTTTATGGGTTCTGCTGTTCTCTGTTCTACTTCTTGTTCTCTTATTTAGGACACGAGTTTCAAATGCCGATGCACCGTCCCAAGAACCCTACCAAGCGTCTGAGAAATTCTGAATTTCAGAAAGTAACTCTGATATGTAACACAGTGGAGGGCCTAATCCATAGAGATAAACAATATGACTGGCAGCCATGACGATTCGTTGTCCATAGCTCCTCTATTTGAATCAGTGATATTTCTTGGGGATTTTGCGCAACCTCTCCAGTCAAGAGCAAGGGCAACATCTTCAGATATTCAAGGACAATTTCATACATGTCTTGCGAGTCGTCAGCCATTATCCTATCTTCTGACTTATGAAATTGATATCCTTCTCGCCCCACCAGTAAGTCAAAAGGATGTATTTGAGTTTCTCACGGCAGTAACTACAAAGATATGACGCCGTATAGTCCGGTATTAGTTTACCTCAGAATACACGGCGTCACATACCAAAAGATTGTACTCTTCGAATAATTATTATTAGTTTACCTCAGAATACACGGCGTCACATACCAAAAGATTGTACTCTTCGAATAATTATTATTAGTTTACCTCAGAATACACGGCGTCACATACCAAAAGATTGTACTCTTCGAATAATTATTATTAGTTTACCTCAGAATACACGGCGTCACATACCAAAAGATTGTACTCTTCGAATAATTATTATTAGTTTACCTCAGAATACACGGCGTCACATACCAAAAGATTGTACTCTTCGAATAATTATTATTAGTTTACCTCAGAATACACGGCGTCACATACCAAAAGATTGTACTCTTCGAATAATTATTATTAGTTTACCTCAGAATACACGGCGTCACATACCAAAAGATTGTACTCTTCGAATAATTATTATTAGTTTACCTCAGAATACACGGCGTCACATACCAAAAGATTGTACTCTTCGAATAATTATTATTAGTTTACCTCAGAATACACGGCGTCACATACCAAAAGATTGTACTCTTCGAATAATTATTATTAGTCTACCTCAGAATACACGGTGTCACATACCAAAAGATAGTACTCTTCGAATAATTATGATTTATCTCTGTCTGTCGCCTTTACAAGACTTTTGCACCAAAACTCGTAATGCATTCCTGTCTCGTCTTTCTGCTTCAAATATTTCTCGATGAAGAATTTAACAAAAATTCTACACATTTGAACACAATTACGTTTTAGCGCGAATATTAACAGTAGCATTTATTCAGTCGTCACATAACAACACATCATGCTTGACGGATCCTGAAAAAAGCAAATACTAATCGATATTTATTAGAAATTAAAAGGCAAAATTACTTACCTCATTATACAACAGACACAGATTTTCTCCTACGAACGATTTATGAAAGGAAACGACAGTAGGAAACTGTTCCGCTCTTGAAATTCACAGGGACTTATCACACTTCGGACTCACGATATAATGAACTACTTCCTCAACCTTTGTAGTGGTCATGAAAACGGAAATGTGGCTTCCCACTTACACTTCTTAGGATTATGCTGGCATTCGTTGACAGCCGGACAGGAACTGCGAAACGCGACACTGAGACTGCCCGTACAATGGAACTAAAACAGGTTTATATTCGTCTTTTTAACAATTCTACGGTGATTTATTCGTGACTTAAGAGCTGATTTCCTTTTCTTCCTTTTCCTTGTGCTGCATAGAAGTGTCTACCTGTTAGAAGTGCGTGCTGACCTCATGGGGTTGGGCTATTCCTCCCACTGCCTCTCCCTGGCACACACTTCCACTAAAAGTTGACAACGCACCAGGCGTAACTTGTAACGTGCGGCACGTCCGGTTTGCTCCCCACTGACTCCTTTCCCTCAGCCGCGCGGCACCTCCAGTTTGCTCCGTAGACTCCTCCCCCTGTTCGTAATAACCGTTTACCAATTATAAATATTGCCGGTCACGGCAGCCGAGCGGTCTAAGGCTTGCACTGTCTTCGCTCGCTCGGAAGCCGGGATCGTGGGTTCGGATCTGTTTCCTGTGAGGTACGAACTGAATTCTTATATATTATTCTTATACACTGCCGGTCACGGCAGCCGAGCGGTCTAAGGCATGTACTGTCTTCGCTCGCTCGGAAGCCGGGATCGTGGGTTCGGATCTGTTTCCTGTGAGGTACGAACTGAATTCTTATATATTATTCTTATACACTGCCGGTCACGGTAGCCGAGCGGTCTAAGGCATGCACTGTCTTCGCTCGCTCGGAAGCCGGGATCGTGGGTTCGGATCTGTTTCCTGTGAGGTACGAACTGAATTCTTATATAATATTCTTATACACTGCCGGTCACGGTAGCCGAGCAGTCTAAGGCATGCACTGTCTTCGCTCGCTCGGAAGCAGGGTTCGTGGGTTCGAATACCACACAAGGCATAGACGTTTGGTGTGTGAATTATAAGGAGGGTGAGATGGGTGGCGGATGTAGCTCGCATGAGATCTGAGAAATAATTACGAAATTTCAGTGGAATGGAAGAGGCCACTTGGAAGACATAGGTGTACGTATATGGAAGGATAATATTTATATAGGCCTTGAAGAAACAGGCTGTAAGGGTGTGAACTGGATTGATCTGACTCACGTAGTGGAATTCCTGTAAGAGGAAACAGATATTCCAGCACTTTCCGTATATTTGACGGAAGAGTAAGCCCATGTCTTCAACAGTAAAACAACTATTTCTGAATATTAAAAGGCATTTATTCTACTTTTAATTTAATAACAATAAAGTTTTGATTCTTTCACTGGAAAGTTCACGCGTTTACAAATATTTTCAGCTGTTCTTATACTGCGATTTTGGTTCTTGTACACCTCACAAACCGAATTCGTTGCCTTCTGAAAACATAAGTGGAGGCAAAGTATTAATGTAGTTCTTAAACCCCGTCGCCATTTTAACTTGTATATAAGGTCCTGTGAGGACACGAATTAGCGTAGTTGCTTGAGGCACTATGCTACACGGAGGAAGGCCGCTGGTTCTAGTCCCGATGAGGTGAACTTTTTTTCAATTGACCTAATCCTTCCAGCCGCACTATGGCCCTGGGGTCGACTCAGCCTCTGACAGAAATGAGTACCAGGAATCTACCTGGTGGGCAAATGGCGGCCGGCGCTTAAGGCTAGCTAACTTACCGCCATCTGTGAGCCGATTGTCTTGAAAATGTGGGAACCTCAACGTCTCACAAACCTATGGGCCTCCATGGCCTGTTACAGGGATAGTTTTACCTTACCTTTCAAATAAGCCCTGTATATATAGTACATATACTTTTTAACACGTTTAACATTTAAAATGTAAATATCTTTTACATTATGGCAAATGACTTACTACTACAGACAATGACTCTGACAAAAGACAGACCCGTCCACTCGTCAAAGAAAGCGCCCCACCAAAACAAGACCGTAACTGTGAAACAGTAATAAATATCTGGTAATGAGCCCCACATGGGGCTTGACACCAAGACTGACTGACTGACCGTCAGTCGCAAGGCCCGCCTATAGCTCCCAGGAGCCATTGGAGGCTGAGTTAATACCGAGGTGAGTTACGCCTGACGCGGTTCATACTTGAAGCTCTACGTAACAAGGCCGGATTTCCCGTCCTTTCTTGTTTATACTACGGCAGAGAGCGGCAACGCGAGGCCACTAGGTGAATAAGGGACATGCAATTGACGCTTGCCCCACTCCAAACAGCAAACCAGAGAATCTGGTGGTCAAAAACGGCGGAAGTGTTTTCACTCTGGTGGCAATAAAGAAGTAGGGCGTCCACTTCGCCTGGGAGAGACATTGCAACATCCCATTTCCCGACACTGTTTTCCAACGTCCCTATTGGTAGCTCACATATAAAGTACAGAATTTTTTTTTTATTTATCATTTATTAGCAATCTGAATTTGCATTCTATGAGCTAATTTGCTGTCATGTACAATAATTATTCTATTGTACTAAGTTGGCTTGAAGAGCTGTAATCCATCGATTACACCTCAGTTTTCCTGGAGATCGTTTGGCCAAGTTTCGTCTTAGTCTTCTGTATTGTGTAGGTTGAAGGAGAGCTTCTATTGCGTTGTTGGGGTGAGATTCCAGTTTCTGATAATGTTTTTGTATTCTGTCTGTGATTACGGTTCTTATATATGGGATCTTGAGGTCGGTGTGAAGAGTTTGGTTTGACACGTACCAAGGTGCGTGAACTATGGCTCTAAGTATTTTGGATTGACTTCGCTGGATGATTGTTATGTTGGATTTGCTGGCGCATCCCCAGAGCTCAATGCCGTATGTCCATATGGGTTTAATTATTGTTTTGTAGATCAGTAGTTTATTATCTATTGTTAGGTGAGATTTCCGACCTAATAGCCAATTTATTTCCTTGAACTTAATTTCGATTTGTTCTCTCTTCTTCGCTATATGGTGTTACCAGTTTAATGTTGAGTCCAGGTGTAGTCCTAAATACCGTATTTACGCATGTATAGGCCGCACATTTTTTGCCAAAAATTCAAGAGGAAAACTGGGGTGCGGCTTATATTAGAAATATTCGAAATCACACTTCATTTTAAAAAAAATTATATTCATAATTAGTAATACAAGGTGTTCTACTCCTGAAATAATATTCCAAGAAAATTATTTTTTCTATAATTTCTGTCTGAAAATTGTGCTGCGGCCTATACATGCGTAAACACGGTACGTACAGAATAACAGCTTGATTTGACCGTTCTGGTTTTTCTGATCCTTAAACGCCTGGCTAATGAAATGAAGATATCTTGAGCTGGCCGGAGTTTATTTAAATTCCCGCTGCAGGTGCGCCTTTAAATGTCCGTTCCTGTTAGGGCGCTTACACTGTATTTAGAAATGCTGTATCTAATAGAATTTTTATGAAACATTAATGTCATTAACTTTGTTTTCATCAGCAAAGAACACAGTGTAGCATATTATAACGTAAGATATGAAAATGTTCAGACAAAAGAGTTATACTGTATTTTTATTTGTTCTTGTAATTTTGATACATACTGCAAAAATTGTTTCTCGCTTCTTCACAAAGTAGTTCTGCATTATAAAATCATTCCTGCGTGTAACATTTGAAATATTTTGGCATTCTCTGGTGCCATAAAATCATTTGGTTTTCCCCTGGAGAGTTTCACATTTTTGTTACTCTATTCAGATATTCGTGTCTTTGACTAAAGGACAGAAAAATGAAGGCACCGCTTCCCAAGAAAGGATAGAGGACAAATTATTTATTCCGTATTTCAGTGTTAAGCTCTACCATTGTAGCTGCAAAAGAATATTGAGTTTTCTATGGTCACAACCAAATGCTTGCATCGCAGCTGGAAAATAGTGAATGCATTCAGTTTTCTGTGATTTCATGGCGAATTCAAATACTTGTAGTTTCGTTTCGTCATACAATGTCAATGAAACGTAGTTTGGGAAATAAAGAAATTGAAAGGCAGATGTAGTGCAAGATAAGTGACGTGGCACTACGCATATTCGGGTGCTTCAAGGAGTATTATACAAAAAAAAAAAGAACTCCGTGGCCTGTAGTCCGCAAGAGAACTATTCCGACCGAGCGACCGCCGCTTGTCGGCGAAGTTAGTGTCAAATTTGCGGTTAGAGGGTGTCACGTGGTCAGCGCAACGGATCCCCACGGCCGTTAATCTCTGTTTTCTAGACCGGAACCGTTATTTCGTTTAAATAGCTACTCAATTATCCTCACGAGGCTGAGTGGACCCCGTTCCAGACCCACTACTTCTCAGAAAATCTGGTAGCACCGGGAATCTAACCCGGGACCTCTGGATCTGTAGGCAGGAACTCTGACCCCTAGAACACAGAGGCGGTCAAGGAGTATTGCACAGAGGCGAGATGCAGTTACATGACGCGGGGATCATATTTTAAGTAGGCAGCCTTACAGAAGAAAGGTCATAAGCGTTCAACGACATCTCCAGCAGAGGAGTTCTGTTTTATAATGTCTGAAAACAGACTGTACTAACTTCCTGGTGATGCCTCAAATAGATACTCCACCACTTGATGGCGATGATATTGCTGCCTCAAACATATATAAATGGGCCCATACACGTACTAGTCTGGCTGGCGAGTCCGACTCGGCTCGGGTTCCAATGAGCCCAACTCGTCCGTGTGTGGGTCGCCACGCTCATACCTGTGTGGTGAAATTAATCCGGGCCCGGCTCCTCGTCGAGCCAGACTCGCGAGCCAGACTCTTACGTGTATGGGCCCCTTAAGGCAGAGTTTACATGTTTACAAGCTTCATGAAGGCAGGTCTAACACGTAGAACGATAAAAAGGAGTGACATGAGGACTTGCTGCTCACGGATCACAACAGAGCTAGATAATTTCGATGGTGCTCTTCGGTAAATTTGAATTACATTTTATTTCACTTTTCTGTTGTTTTATTACATGTAAAATCCTATTAAGAGGACATTCTTAAAATCGAATAAAGAGTGCCACGTCATTAATGGAAGAAGTGTCCATAAGTAATTTATTGTAACTCTGATGACTGCAGTGCCGATCACTGTAGCCGCGCGGTCTAAAGGGGACCATACACGTACGAGTCTGGCTCGCGAGTCCGACTCGGCTCGGGTTCCAATGAGCCCAAATCGTCCGTATGTGGGTCGCAAAGTTTGGAGTCAGCTCATGCAATTTTGGATTGAAATTAATTCGAGCCAACCTTGCCGAGCCAGACTCGTACGTGTATGGGCCCCTTAAGGCATGTACTGTCTTCGCTCTCTCAGAACCGGGATCGTGGGTTCAAATCCCACACAATACATGTATGTTTGATGTATTTACGTGTTTATTCTGTGTTTGTGTTGTCCTGGATTTAGGTAGAGACCTTGCGACGAGGTGATCACCCGTCCAAGGAGTTCTGCCGTCTGTATAAATAATCATGAAACTGAGAAATCAGCCCCGTGCTCCAAAGTGCTAGCAAGAGGAGAGAGCGAGAGAATATCTCCATTGTGCATGAAAGCCGTTTCTGAATATTTGAAGTGTCAAAGATATAGGAGTAACAGAGAAATTTCGAATAAATTGTGACTAAGTTTAGCGACACCCTCTATCCGCAAAAGTTGGCACTAACTTCGCCAACAAGCGGCGGTCGCTCGGTCGGTATAGTTCGCTTGCGGATTACAGGCGACGGAGTAATGATTTAAATTATAGAAATGTGTAATATTATATAGTGAAAACGAAATGATATGTATGGCAGAGACAATTATATGCTGACACAACACGATAATACCGCACAGGCGAGAAAATAAACAAGATTCTTAAGAAGATTAGCATATATTCATAACTTTAATAAGGAATATGAAAAATAATGAATAGAAGGAACCAGTCTTGAGAAAGACATTCGAGATTACCAGTGGCGGTCTCATAGGAAGAAACTGAACCACTATAAATTCCAGAAGAAAACATAAGTACAAAGTCTAAAGGTAAAAGCGATCTTTGAAGGTTAGTCCTAAATCATGACATTAAGAGAAAAAGTAAGATTATGTGAAGGGAAGTTATTCTATCTTGGTATTAAATTGAGTTACTAATTAAGAAGAAACCAGAGGAATATGAGTCCTCATAAAGTCCGTGACCTGTAGTCCGTAAGCGAACTATACCGACCGAGCAACCTCCGTTTTTCGGCGAAGTTAGTGCCAACTTTAGCGGATAGAGGATGTCGCGTGGTCAGAGCAACGAATCCCCACGGCCGTTAATCTCTGTTTTCTAGACCGGATGAGTCCTCATAACAGCTGCTTAACACATCGAGACATGATAATGCACAAAAAGCACATTCAACACCCGTAGTTATTGTTTATTGGAAGCGAACACTAGACACGTGGGTAGAAATCGACGTCTTGGAATACAGTGTGTGTTTTGCCATTGTCGGGATTCCTCGCCGTTGCCATGCAGCGGTACAAACCGGCGTCATAAGGCGTGACTTGTTTCAGATACAGAACTGATCCTTTAGGGTAGTACAGGACGCCGTTGCGGGCGTCGCTCACCCGGTACAGCCTTCTCGGGTCGCCTCGAAGCCAAACGACGTTCTGCAAACATAAGACCAGACACTGCAGTACGTGCTTCTCAGACACGTCGTCACTTCCGTTATCATATTCCGGAAGTGGCCGCGCCATAGTTCAAGCGGTTAGTCGCTGGCTTCCCGATACCGGCTCTGGTCAAGTGGGATTTGTGGTGGACAAAGTGGCGCTGGGGCAGGTTGTCTCCGAGTACTTCGGTTTCCCCTGCCAATCTTCATTCCACCAATTGCTCCACAATCACCCTCACCTATCATCTGGGGCTGGTACAATAGGCCAGAAGTGGCCGCAGTACAAGGGACTTAGTCCCACCCCACTAGCAATAAAAAAAATCATATTCCGGGTACTGTACACCCCCGAAAGGAAATGGAAAATGGGCTAGCACAGGAACCGATATGAAAGTATACCATTTCCATAAAGTTGACTTCCTGTTGCACCATCCCGACACTGTACGTATAGTGTAGAGTAAGTTGTCTAATTTTACTGCCTTGTCAGAACGTAGAAGGAACCAGGTTAGCGTAGTTGGTATAACGACTGAATACGGTCTGGAAGACCGAGGGGTCCGAGTTCGAGTTCCGGTAAAGTGAAGAATTTTCTGTTCTCCAAGTCGTCCAGACCTGCTTTTGGGTCCACCAAATCTGCTATCCAGTGGGTACCTGGGTCTCCTTCTCCGGGGTAAAGCGGCCGGGCCGTGAAGCTGACCACTCATCTCCAACAAATGCTGAGGTCAATAAAATGTGGATCTACACATCCATTCCCCAATACACCTTCATGGCTCAGCGCTTAATTAGTTGAACAAAGGGACGACTTTACCTTTACATTATCAGAATATAGTCTTATTTTTAAGAAGACAGTTTTCCTTTCCATTTGGTGCTACATTTTTAACATATTGCATTGTAAGCATACCATTTGGTTGACATGTTACTACGAGAACATTGCAGCTAGAAGGCTTGTATTGTAAATATACTGGTTACATGAATAGAACTTTGGGATATTAAATTGGAAGTTGTATCAGTTAACTTATATATGAAACAAAATGAATCACTTTGAAAGTCGGGCTAGTAGTTGCCACCTGCCTTCACACTGGTATCTTGCTCGGTTTATTCGAAGCTGAAGATGAAGGAGATATTTTCAGCCGAAACGTCGGTTGACTTTCAACGGACTACACGACGTTATATCCCAGAAGAGAGCACTCTTCATAACCACCGCTGTGAGAACCTCAAATCATATCGTCATGTTTTTGTTGTTAAGTACAGCCGGTATTCCCGTGGTCGCCCATATGTAGCCCCAAGGTCGAATCATAGAATGAGCCCGCATCACATCAATTGTTTGTCTGTTTGTATCATCTCATAGTGAATGAAAAAAAAAACACTGGATTGAACCATTTAGTATATTGAAGGTAAAGATGTAAAGTTATCCCTCTAACAGGCCGTGGAGGCCCATAGGGATGTGAGACGTCGAGGCTCCCACATTTTCTAGACAATCGGCTCACAGATGGCAGTAAGTTTGTCAGCCTTACCCGCCGGCCGCCCTTTACTCCCAAGAATATTCCTGGTACTCATTTCTGTTAGAGGCTGAGTCGACCCCAGGGCCACAGTGCGCCTGGAAGGATTAGGTCATCTGAAAATAAAACTCAATGACCTCATCAGAAAGAAAACACAAATAAACTAAATTTATTTAAGTTTAATTAATTAATAAGGTCTTTTATAATGTAAGCCTGTCACGGTAGCCGAGAGGTCTAAGGCATGTACTGTCTTCGCTCGCTCGGAAGCCGGGATCGTGGGTTCGAATCCCACTGAAGGTATGGATGTTTGTGTGCGTTTTTCTGTGTTTGTGTACAGGTAGAGGCCTTGCGACGAGCTGATCACCCGCCAAAGGAGTCCTACCGAATGTGTAAGATCTAGAGAAACCGAAGTGAACGGAGAAGTTCATGGAGGTAGGCCTAGGCCCACTGGGGCTGTAGTGCCAAGGGGGGGAAGTCACATGTTTCGTAAGACGTGAGAAAGTCTCAAGAAACAGCAAAGGACCGAATGTAATTACATGGTCAAATGAAGGCTTTCATGTCATTTTTATGAATGATGTGGATTTCCTTTTATACTACATGCATTTAAAGTTCTACTGCAGAAGTTGTCCGCCCTGATTCATTTTCCTTCTCGTCTGTTTCATGAATTCAGAATTGTTACCATTTGCATAACATGTAGAAGGTAAAGTTGCCTCTGCTAAAGTAATTAAGCACTACGCCACGAAGACGTATGAGAAAGTGAATGTATAGATCCACGTTTTCTTGACCTCGGCAGTAGTTGAAGGTGGGAGGCCAGCTTCACGCCCCGGCCGCTTTACTTCCAGGTGAAGTGCTCCCGTAATCCATTGGATATGAGACTGGGTGGATCCCAGAGCCAGTCTGGTCGACGTGGAGAGCATAACATCTAGTAATTCACATTTCACTGTCGCCCGCATGTAGAAAGATCGCAATGCGCACAGTTAACTGAAGGACATGTTATCTCTATCCATGGCTCTACAGCATTTTGTTGTGCCTTGGCCGCTTTTCAGTTTCTTAATCCTATACACAGTCGGTAGAACTCCTTAGATGGAGGATCAGCCCTTCGCAAAGCCACTACATACGCAGAACAACACAAACACAGAACAAACGCACACAGACATCCATGCCTCGAGTGTGATTCGAACTCACGATCCCAGTGTTTGAATGGGCGAAGACAGTTCATGCCTTACACCGCGCTGCCACCATGATCGGCTCATGTTATTTCCACAGTATGAAAATCGTTTTTCAGTGGTCTAGTGGTCAGAGTTCCTGGCTACAGATCCAGAGGTCCCGGGTTCAATTCTCTGAGAAGTAGTGGTTCTAGAACGGGGTCCACTCAGCCTCGTGAGGATAATTGAAGAGCTACATGAGTGGAAAAATAGCGGCTCCGATCTATAAAGCCCAAATTAACGGCCGTGGGGATCCGTTGCGCTCACCACGCGACACCCTCTACCCGCTAAAGTTGACACTAACTTCGCCGACAAGCGGCGATCGCTCGGTCGGTATAGTTCGCTTGCGGACTACAGGCCGCGCAGTTTGTTTTTTGTTTTGTTTTGTTCAGCGTTATACATACTAAGTTATGAGTCGATAAGTAACTACAAATTAAGCGGTTCTATATCTTCTGGTGTATAAAGCTATGTAGTCCTTTGGAAGCCAACCTCAAGTCCCGTACAAATAAGGCGGCGCTTAAGACTCTGAATTACTGGCAACGTCATTAAACAGGAAACGTTACAAACAGACATACCGATACGATATTTTCACTATCGGGAAAGCGACATTGAAGTTCTGCGTCGGCTGGGGACAGCATCCGGTAGCTTCCTGTGCCTCGGCTCTCTGCCCCGACATGGTCCCCCACGTGCATTCGTCTGAAATACACACGACTGTTTAAATATTGCCTGAATTTAGATTAGGACTTAAACTGTTCTTTCAAGGGGTAACACTCGCCCTTATTTTCTTACTTACTTACTCATGGAGCTGAGCCCTTCTGGAGGAGCCGCCAATTCTGCAGCTACTCAAGAATTTCCCAGCATTTTATGGAACCCGAAGGTTCATTCTTGTGTTCACAAGAGCCCTCCAGCGGCCCCTATCCTGAGCCAGATCATGTAATCCATACCACCTCATCCTATCTCTCTAAGATCCATTATAATATTGTCCACCCGCCTACGCCTTGGTCTTCCCAGTGGTCTCTCTCCTTCTGGCTTTCCCACCAATATCCTATACGCATTTCTCGTCTCCCCCTTTCGTTCTACATGCCATGCGCACCTCATCCTCCTTGACTTGAGCATTCTAATTATACTTGGAGAAGAGTACAAGTTATGAAGCTCTTCATTATGCAGTTTCCTCCAACCTCCTGTCACTTCATCTCTCTATGGTCCAAATATTCTCCCCAACACCCTGTTCTCAAACACCCTCAGTCTATGTTCCTCTCTTAATGTCAGAGACCAAGTTTCACACCCATACAGAACCACAGGCAAAACTATATTTTTCTGTGGCGCTACAGCCCCAATTTGGGCCTAGGCCTACCTCCATGAAACTCTCCGTTTCACTTCGGTTTACTAGATCTTACACATTCGGTAGGACTCCTTCGGCGAGTTATCAGCTCGTCGCAAGGCCTCTACCTGTAGACAAACACAGAAAAACGCACACAAACATCCATGCCCTGAGTGGGATTCGAACCCACGATCCCGGTTTCCGAGCGAGCGAAGACAGTGCATGCCTTAGACCGCTCGGCTACCGTGACCGGCACAGGCAAAACTATAGTTTTGTATATCCTAATTTTTATGTTTTTGGACAGCATCCATTATTTTCTTACCTTACAAATAATATAATATTATATTTCAGCATCCTGTAGCATTTACGTAAATTTTATAGTCTTTTTCTTTCATCTATAACGCAACAAATTAATAATAAATACAGGGAACGCAAGGCAACGCCTGATACGTACAACGAAAAACAAAACACCTAATATGACATAGAAACAGCCGCAATTAAAAAAAGGTCAAACAGATATGAAGGAACATCAAAGGCATACCTTCTTTTTTAATTCGCATAGTGTGGGGGGGGGGTGGAGTCCAACTGGGTCCACTCGGCACGGCGGTCACTGATTGGCCTATCGTAGCCTACCCCGGGTTATTATGATGATGTAGAATTTGGTGGAATGAAGATTGGCAGGGGAAACCGAAGTACTCTGAGAAAACCTGCCCCAGCGCCACTTTGTCCACCACAAATCCGACTTGATCAGACCCGGGATCGAACCCGGGCCGCCGCGGTTGGAAGCCAGCGACGAACCGCTTGAGCTATGGCGCGGTCCAGTGCCGGTCTTAGTATTGTTGAGAAGAGAAAAATCTTGCCCCTGCATGGTTCGAAGACGGAGTAGTAGTAGTAGTAGTAGTAATGACAATAGAATGAAGCGTAGAGGTAACACTTTCATAGTCTCATTAGTTGGCAATTATATTTGTGCAGCAAACAAGCTCTAATGCCCTTCTGTTTCAGTCAATCACTGCAGAAGAGGGCATTCTGGCAAGTTTTCATTTCTGCATATCGCATAGAATTTCCAAGAATAGAGATACCATGTATGCGACCAGAAGACGTAAGAAGATGCTGGTTGACCTTGGGGACAGAAGAGGATATTCTCATTTGAGGGAGAAAGCTCTAGATCGCATTAAGTGGAGGAACTGTTTTGGAAGAGACTGTGGACCTGTCGTCTGACAGATTACAGATGAATGAATGAATAAGATAAACTCTGGAGTTGTACCGTAAATGTAACTGCTTACCTTGTATCGTAAGGCCGGCTTCTGAAGTTGTTTGCGTTCCGATAAATTGCTTTAATATTATCAGCTGGATAATAGCGGATGATCCTTTCATACGGAGCTGAATATAACGGTTGTGCTCTCTCGTAGTAATATATAGACGGCTGTGGATTGCAAGACACGAGGCACAATACTGCGGCTATTGTTACTGGAAAACATTTCAACATTTTGTATGTCATTGTATTGTTGAAAAAGTAGTTCCCTTCCACCAAAACCTGGTGCCTTAATTACACACATTCAAATGTTTTGTTGCGAGTATCAACGTTGAAGGCTTTTTCTTTGATTACGAAAAATAATCGCTTTGAATGAAACTAATAAAGTTAATTGAATCCAGGTTAAATTTTAAACAGAATTTGTAATGCATTAGAAAAACTGAAAAGAATTTGGCGGTTTCGGTCTAAGGTTTTCTGATTTTTGAAGTTTCCTATTGGGTTATTATGGTTCACAGATGAAATTGTAATATTCATAGATTCTTGAAATCTGTATATGTCTCGTTGCAAATTTCAACATAATTAATGTAGGTCCTCTTTGCCAAAAATCTAAAAATAGTATTAATCAAATAATTTGTGCACAGCGAGTGGTGTTGTGAACCGGTCTTCAGCGACACGAAGTCCAAACCCTTGCCTCCCTTCCTTTTATACAGAGAACTGAACACAGAGGAGTTCCATGAATTACACGCACAACAATACCTTTATTTCGTTATCCTTAGGAAAGTTTATAGAAGAATGTATTAAGTCCTTTCCTACAACAGTTGCAAGGATGGTCATGGGCGTATTCAAGGAACATTATACTGTCTTGCTTTACTGTTAATACGAGCTCATTTTAGACAATAGCTGGAGCTAATTTTCAGTGACTTAAATTTTCGTGACTTAAATTTACAGGCTTTATTCAGTAGCTCATGACAACAACGTAATTTTTTTTTAATTCACTTATTGGGGGGTGGAGTCCAATTGGATCCACTCGGCACTGCGGTCACTGATTGGCCTAATGTAGCCTGCCTCGCGTGATTATGTTGATGGAGAATTTGGTGGAATGATGATTGGCAGGGGAAACCGAAGTACTAGGAGAAAACCCTCCCGTACGCTACTTTTTCCACCACGAATTACATTTGACCAGACCCGGGATCGAACCCGGGCCGCCGCGGTGGGAAGGCAGCGATTAACAGCTTGAGCTATGGCGCGGCCAATTTTTATATTAGTCTTAGTAATCTTTGCATTGTATCTACATGTTGAATCCAAGTAGTTCTTTATTTCTAACGTCGTCCAGTATTGGTTAGGATTCAAATTCTATTAATATATCTCAGTAGCTATTAGTTTAACATGAAAGTAAAGAAACAAATTTAAAACGCGCATTACACACTTTCTATTGTTTTTTTCCGACAAGAATCAACACGGACAGTTGCATATAACACTCTTTGTTTTAGGATCCATAATTGATTTTGTCACGTCACTGTACAACAATGATCATGGCCGTGAAATGGAGGAATTTGAATTTATAAAAGGATTTCATGTGTCCTTATGCCTTTGTGTGAAAGTACAAGACTTCCGTGTAAGAATGTTATACAGCTCCTATTTGGGACTGACAGAAGTACGTGAAGGTGCACTGTCACTTTCTGTCAGGAAACATGAAGCAATTATTACACTAGCCGTGATGAAAGGCCCATGATAATTACTTTTGGGATTTTCTGTGCGCCCTTTTGTGGATAGCAGGAAACATAAATTTTAGGAACATAGAACTTATTAACCTAGTCACCTGTACAGAAACAAATGTTACCTTGTAATAATTTCTCTGTTGAATTTGAGGTTTGNTCAAATCTTACATTGAGGTTTGTTGTTGCTCTACCAGACTTTACTAGCGGTAGACCTGCATTCGAATTGATGAAGCAAGTATTTGATGTGTATCTACTTCTTATGACTTCTGGAGTGATAGGGAGCACAAGTTGCGAACTCTAGTGATAGCGTTCCTCATAAGGATAATGCATGCAGAGTCGTAATGGAGCTAATTGTATCATTTCTATATGACCTACACTGTAAAACATTTGCTCAAAGCAAGAATTGTGGAGCTATTCTTATTAATAATTTAATATAATTTATTTTTGTGACAACCTTATTTAAGTCTGGCTATGGACTGGACGACCGAGGGGTCGGAGTTCGAATCCCGGTAGGGTAAAAAATTTTCCCTTCTCCACGTCGTCCAAAATAGCTCTGCGATCCTCTCAAACTTCTGTCCAATGGGTACCGGGTTCTTTCCCCGGTGGTAAAGTGGCCGGAGCGTGAGCTGACCACTCACCTCAAGCTAGTACCGAGGTCAAGAAAATGTGGCTCTATACATCCACGGCCCCATACGCCTTCATAGCCTAATGCTTAATTAAGTAGTTACTATAGGATTCTGACGATGGTGTATAACACACAGATATATTGGGTTTTCGGACTTTATCCATCGTCCTGGTTTTAAGATAACTAAGAAAAAACACGACGTTTCGGAAGCTGGATCTGTTTCCGTCCTCAGGTGAGGTAAAACGCCTATTCTATTGGGTCCCTTAGAAAGAGCTAGCCTCAAGCACTGTCCACTGGACAGTTTACCTCACCTGAGGACGGAAACAGATCCAGTTTCCGAAACGTCGTGTTTTTCCTTAGTTATCTTAAAAAACCAGGACGATGGATAAAGTCCGGAAACCCAATATCTCTGTAATGCTTAATTAGTTAAACACAGGGACACCAGCGCCTTTACAGAGTGGTTCTAAATTACTGTCGGGATTTCCGTGGCTTATAAACGGGAACACCGACAACAATTCAGAATAATCCTACGTTTTAAATACTAGTGTTTTAACCATAATAGGGGAACATGTGCACGTAAAGCGTCTGAAGCATTTCATCTGAACTGTTGGTCGCCATCCGCTGTTGGCCATCATTGGCCGAAACATGTGAAGGCTCTGTTTTATTATTAAGAAAACGTTGTTGCAATTGATGGAATTCAGTCCTAATTTACCCTGCTTTAAGGCATTAGAAATAACTTCATTATAGGAAAATGCTTTAGAATTTAACAGACGGAATCTATCCGCGCCTGCGCGTACTCCCATTTCCAGCCCTGGTGTTGTCCAATGTTCATTTTATTTTCTGCAGTGGAGGCTCCCCTTTGTCGCATGATACTTCGTCTGAACTGTACTGTGTCCAGCCACATAGACTTAGTCGTAATAATTCTATAGTTTCGCTGTGCTGCAATGGTCCAAGTGATGACCTCACCGACAGCACCACTTGCTACGCCGTGGGTGAGCAAATCTCACCTTAACCCTGCCTTAGCTTACGGGCCGATATGTACAGCACCTTCACATACAGAGCGTCCGGATCAAAGGTATCCAAAATAAATTAATTATATCTGAGATGAAAAAAAAAAAGAAAAAGTGTTATTTAGAGTCAGTGAGCATAGGAATATCCTACACGAAATAAGAAAACGGAAGGCTAATTGGATTGGTCATGTTTTACGCAGAAACTGCCTTCTAAAGGAAGCTATCGAAGGAAAGAGAGAGGGGCAGATAGAAGTGACAAGAAGATGAGGAAGAAGATGCTGGATGACCTTGGGGACAGAAGAGGATATTCTCATTTGAAGGAGAAAGCTCTAGATCGCATGAAGTGGAGGAACTCTTTTGGAAGAAACTGTGGACCTGTTGTCTTGACAGATTACTGATGAATGAATGAATCTCAGAAAGAATTTATTATACATATTAATGGGTTACACCATTACAAAAGGAAATTATCAAAGTTTTTTCTGCGTATATAACTTTCTCAATAAATTTAAATGTGGGCTCCCTTGGTGGCACGACGAATATCCAGGCTTGAAGCAAGTTTGGTGTTACCGTAGCCACAGCGTCCCTTATGCGGGCTTTCAGGTGTTGCAGTTCATTGATCTAACCAGGTAGACAATGTTCTCCATATGACCCCACAAAAAAAAAATCCACTGGGGTTAAATCTGGTGACCTAGGAGGCCAAGCGATTGGTCCACTTGTGCCAATTCATATCCCAACCATCACTCTGTCCAGGCGATTCCTAACATGGTGGCAAAAATGTGGCGGCGCATGCGCGTAAGCAGGGCATGAGGAAAAAAAAAACTTTCAGAGTTTTCCTTTCAGATGACATAAACCGGATACGTGTATGACAATTAGTTTCCGAAATATACATTTTTTATTTTGGATACCTTTCATCCGGACATTCTGCATGAACGTCATATCGCTGCCTACCCTGCTAGGGGCCAGAGATGGCTTCTCGTACTCGCTGCTGTTGCCGCCATTTTCCCATTTTCATTGCGTTCCACTCTTAGATGTCTGAATTTGTTCACACCACCTGGTGAAGTTGCCTGTCTCTAACTTACAACACGTTCCAAGACAAAATATTCAAAGGTACAACAGATTTAACTTCCATCTTCGGAGCACATGGGAATTGGGCAGTTACAATTGGGGCCAGGGACTGGAACAAGACTCCCCTGAGGAGGTCTAGAAGCAGCGTGCAGCGTTCAGTGCAACGAAAAGCAAGCGGCAAGTCTTGTACAGCCAGACACAAGTTAATGAACAATAGAAGGCTGTGGTTCCCAGTGAATTAGCAATGGACTGAAATAAACTGGCGTCAAGACCGTGGCAACTGTAAATAACTGCTCAGAAGCAAACTAAAATTACAGTATATGGGAAATGGGTGCTTCACGCTGTACTGTGTGTTGATGATTGATTCTTGGTTTATGTAACGATGCTTTGTCAAGATATACAATGCCAAAGCACCGGATTATCTTTAATGAATTGGAAATTATGTAGAATTATGTTGTCTAACCTGTTTTAAGGTACTGCATGCAACTGACAGGACTAAGGGAAGATGATAAAATTCTCATTCAGGTATTCAGACTGAGAATTGAAACCGGAACTTCTAGGATATAAATTATTAGTTATGTTTACATGTCCATTTCAATATTACTTATTTATGGTATACAGTTTTTTATGTTGTGACATTTTATTTGAAAGTCAGTGATAATACTGAAAAGGAAATTAACGCAAAATGCCGTTCTGAGTATTGCTTCACTTGCCTTACTTCCATTCTACGAGTATATCCAGCAAGACCTTTTTAATTTAAAAACATTGGCCTTAATGGATTTTAGTCTAAATTTATCAGTGTCTTCAGACGCTGAACCACGCAGTGACAGACGGAAGAGGTACAATACACTCATAAGGCGTAAATTCGTTAGTAACGCATATTTGGTAAAGAATTGTCAGTTATTTGATTAGAAACGTCCACGGATTTTCACTTAAATACTCGAATCAGAAGATGAAAATATCTACCAAGATCGGGGTATCGCTCTTCCTCTCAGGCCCTCCATTTCGTTTGAATGCTTTCTGTAACATTGCCGGAGAGCACTGATCTGATGCGCCGGTGTTGGTTATGCCACTTCTTCTTGCAGTGCTTTACTTGATCATAAAGTTGCAGACCTTGAGGGATGTACTGATTCGTTCTAGAACGATTCATTTTAGACCAAACATCCTTGAATGTGTGAGGAAATTCATGACTTCTTGTCACTGTTAGGGATAATGAAGAGAAATAGTCGGAATCATGCAGAAT